ATTAGATAGTCATTGGTTCGAATCGATCAGCTGCGTCCTTTTTTATTTTATTTGAGGGCCTTTGTTCATAATTAAATAAATTTGAGGGTTCTGTGAAAAAACACATGTCGCCTTGAAGCAATATATGTCGCTGACAGTGGGCCTGTGTATGCTTGGCATGCCATGCCATTGACGGATACGCGCGCAGACTGCCGAAGTGACCGTATTTGCATCCGAACACAAGTTAGATGACTAAAAACTCGTATTTTTTAAGTTTTAGCACCAAATTATACATCGCACGCAAGTTTTATGACTACCAATAATATGGGAAACACTTAAATCCATCCGGCTGATTTCTGGAAAGAAATCAGCCGCCTCGTCTGCCTGCCACGCGTCCACGGTGAACTGCCCAGAACCATGCGTCTCTCCTTAACAAACCTTATCCTCAACTTCTTCTTCCTCCCTCTCGTACTTTCTTTTCCACACGAACGCCATGCATGGCTGCTGCTAGCTCTGTGTGACCCCTCTCCTCCTCCTGGCCGGTGTTTGTAAGACGGCCTAAGGCTTTGCTGCAAGCCTGTCGTGGGTGAGCGCAGGGCTGCTGTGAAGGCCGCCGGGGCTGAGATGTGGCGCTACCGCGTGCAAGGCGTGATTCGAGAGGGCGTCAACGTGGTCGCCAGGTTGCAGTATCATCCTTGCTGCAAGGAGTCGCAGGTGCTCCAATGGAGCGCCACCGAGCTGCACAATGCGCGATGGAGCTGCAATGGAACTCCGCCGATGCTACGACGAAACACTCGTTGGACTGCCAAAATATCTCCGGCAATGGAGCATCACCGGCGTTGCGATGGAGCATCGTCGGGCTGCCAGGACATCGCCGGTGTGCTGCAATGAAGTATTTGTCGGACTGCCGGAACATCACCGGACGGAGCATCACCGACGCCGCGATGGAGCATCGTCGGGCTGCCGGGACATCGCCGGTGCTGCAATGAAGCATTTGCGTACTGCCGGAACATCACCAGCGCTGCAACACAGCATCACCAACGCTGCGATGGAGCATCGTCAGGCTGCCAGGACATCGCTGGTGCTGCAATGAAGCATTTGTCGGACTGCTGGAACATCACCGGCGCTGCGATGGAGCATCGTCGGGCTGCCGGGACATCGTCGGTGCTGTAATGAAGCATTTGTCGGACTGTCGAAACATCACCGACGTTGCAACGGAGCATCACCGGTGGTGCAATGGAGCATGGTCTGGCAATGGGAACACTGCCGGTGCTTCAATCGAGCATTGCCGAGCCATCGGAGCATCACCTGCGCTGCAATGGACCATATGCAGATGGCCGGAGCATCGCTGGTGCAGTAATGGAGCATCAATGGTGCTTGAAGAGGTGATCACAGTAGAGGCGTTGCTGCAACTCCGGAGCTCGTCGGCGCTGCTGCCGTGGCCAATGTATGGCAAGCTCCTCGGGCGTTTTGTTGTGAGGTTGCGAGCGACGTGGCCGCTGCAGCCTGAGGGTTGCAGCTGGTGCTCGCCGGCTAAGTGCGGCTCTGGCTAGAGTTACCTGTGTGATGGTGCGTTGCTGGCTGGGAAATGTGCAGGTTGGGATTGAAGTCATGGCGTGGTCCAGTCTCAGCGAATCCAGCGGCCCAAATCATATCGTATTGACGCAAATCAACGGTGGGTGAGGCGGCTTATTTTCCACTGACATCATCCGGATGACGCCTAGCAGGCGCCCAATTCTCAAGCCACAGAGAGACAAAGAGAAACTAGAAACGAAATTAAAGAGAAGTTTCCTCACCCTACCATTCGTTCACGCCAACGGCAATGCCTCAATTGCTCATCTTGCGAACTGTAGCTATCACGGATTGAAGCTACAAACCTAACCTACTTGTATCTCCTCTCCCCACCAATAACTCGTCTCTGAATTTTCCGTGGCTGCACGTTCGGCACACACAGTGACACAGGCCACACTCCGCGCGCGCGCACACACAGGCCACACTACAAACCACACTCCACACGCACAGCCCGAAGTGCGGCGCCGGCGATGGATGCTGGTGGAGGTGGTGCTGCTGCCGGTGGCGGTGAAGCAGCAGCTGCAGGTGGAGATGGCTCCAGGGCGGCGACGGGAGCCATCCGTGCGGTGGCGAAGGTGCACCTCGCTCTCGGCTGGGCGGCGGCGACATTCGCCCTCTGCGCCGTCACCCTCCAGCCCCAGCTGAAGCCGCAGGGAGGTCAGTGCGCGGCCACCGAGGTGGACGCGGCGACCATGCGCGCCAAGGGGCTGCTGCTGCTGCTCCCCGCCGGCGCCCAGGCAGCGGCGACCACGGTGGCCGCCTTCGCGCCGGACGCCTGGAGATGGGGGCGGCTGCACGTCGGCTGGACCTTCGCCGCCTTCACGCACGTCGTCAGCGTCTTCACCTACTTCCACCTCGAGGACGCCTTCACTGCTGCGGCCGCCGTCGCCTTCAGCGGCTGCCCCGCCCACATGTACGTGGAGACGGCCATGTTCATCGCCCACAACGTCCTGCTCTTCGTGCCCCTTTGCGTCTTCTTCGTTGTAGGCATCGCCGCACTCGTCGCCGCCGTGTGGTAGCCCTTTGATTCCTACATATATATCGATCCATCCATCCATGCCTAGCGTCTAGCGAAGCTTGTACAGTACTATACTATGTCGTCCAGCTCTCCAGTCTAAGCTACTAGCTAATGATGATCAATGTGGCACTAATTAGGGTTAATTGGTGTGCATGCTGCGTGTTGGAATGCAATGCTAGATCGATGCATGATGCATATGGTTGGATCGAGATGAGAATGAGATCGAGTTTGTACTCTTTAGAGCTAGTTATCATATGCATGCATGGAGCTTAGTTATTACATGACGTGTTTCTGTTGATTCTGTGCTAAAACTGCAGGTTGCTGTGATGTGTTTGTGGCTTGTTTCCTTCTTTATTCTCCAAGATTAGTTTGATGAAAAATGTGCGTTGTAATGTGTGGCTCAAGAAATATTTCTTATCTTCTTAAGGATCGAGTTACCAAACTCCTCAGCTTTTTGTTGCCCCAGACCTCCAAATGGTGCTGAAATGTTCAAATTAATGTTTTTACCTAAAAAAATAGCACGAAAAATATATACGCAAAATGACCGGACTTGACTCACGCGTGCAGTTAATATTAACGCAGGACAGAGGGGTGCAGTAGTTTTCATATTGCAGTGGATGCTAAGATACTAAGATGGGTGCTGCCACGTAGTACGACGTACAGTTTACAGCAAAATGGACGTCTCCTACCCAAATGCATGCAGCTAGCTAGCTAGCTACCCAAAATGTGCATTGCATGCTGCCATCTCTCACTGCCAGACCGCGAGACAGAGGCATAGGTCGGTCCAACCATCTCGCTACCGCAACGAGTTTGTGCTAGCTAGCGCTGTACATTGATCTCGATGGTCACTTACTCTTTTCGTGCTGCGGTACGCGCAGCGCAGGCAATGGAATCGATGCACATGATGCAACGCTAGCATATAGCAAGCAGCCAGAGAGTGAAGCTGAAACCGAACTAATATGGGAGTGGCGCATGTGCATAGATCCAAAAGTGCGACTTGACCCAGCAGATATGGCAACCCATCTTCATTGGCGCCATGGGTATGAGCCAACATCGGTGCATGAGGAACCCGCACCACAGAATTACTTGAGCATCTTTCTTGAGATATACGAAGATTGGTGTTGGGTTCTCAATAGGTCTAGTTTATACCGACAAGGAAAATGTGTGTTTCAAATAAGTAATTGCATAGCGTTTGTACCAACCTAACGGAAAAAAACGTAGGCATTACCATAGTCACGCGGATGCTAAACGAATATATACCCCTCACCGGTCATAGCAAAGTTCTTTTGGTCATGTTGGACAACATCTACTAGTGGAAAGGGGACATGTGCTCTGACCCAAGTAATTTTCATTGGTCGAAAACAACGACGAAATCATTGGTTTTGTCGAACATGGCGATTACAAAGTAATTGTTGTATCCAACATACATAGACGGGGGTTGAGAGATGATAATCTTTTTTTTTCAAAATGGAGGCAAAAGATTTGCCTCATTTATTAAATAAGGAGAGAACAGAGTTTAGAGTCTTTCAACACACTCACAGATACGGCATGACAATTACTTGCCCGCAAAAATATTTCCTAATTTCTTTGCACCGGTAGTCACCCAAAGCTTGGCCTCGTCGACGATGGCGGCGAGTAGGATGGTCGGTGGCGCACTCTTATGACGAAACACCCGAGCGTTTCTTTCATTCCAAATGGTCTACGAGACAAGTATGATGAGAGAGGCCAAAGCTTGCCGGTTGGGGTTACGGTTGTCGGTTCTCTTGTCCCACCATTCAAAGACGGATTCGTCCATGTGCCACTCGGACGTATCCATGTGCGCGAGACCAAGCAACTCAATGAGCGACTTCCATAGCCGAATCGTATAGCGACACTTGAAGAAAAGGTGGGCACCCGTTTCTTGTTCCCTGAATATGGGCGGCGGAGAGAACCGCGATGTGGCTGATCTTGAGGATCCAAGCGTTCCCCTTGAGGGCCTCATGAATTTTTCAGTTCTTTCTTGTCGAGGCCACAAAGATGAGAGGTGCAATATTCTTGGGTTTGCGTCCAAAAAGCCACGGGGAGTCCTAAAAGAAGATAATCTTATGTATCTAATCAACGTCGATTTGCATCTATTCATGCCATCCAACATGTTGCAACCCTGTGTCGTTAATGGGGAGGCACCGGCGACAGTAAAAGGGAAGGAGGGGTTGGAGGGGCCGGCCGCCTCGGAGAATCCAACAATGAAGAATGTATGGTGTTTCAAAAGAATCTTAATCATAAATGAATTTGGCTAAGTTAAGCTGTTCTGACTACATCTAAAGTGCTACAAAATGCAGAATACATACACTTGCAATCACATCATTCAATCATAGGCATGTGATGCGATTGGCATAGTAGCCACGCAGCATGCCACATCCAACACCACTAATTATGCACGACCGAAGGATCCTCAGACCTTCTGCTCACGAAAGGTCTGCATCCAGCCTCCAACATGTGCTCCGTCTTGTTCAACCTGGGAATGGGCATCAACCTTTGCGGCGGTGAAGGTGATGCCGATCTTGATCTCGCCGTGGTACGAGTTGTCCGCGGTGACCACCCTGTACTTGGCCGGGTTCAGCCGCGACTTGCCGCTCTCCATGCCCATGCTGATCAGGTCGGTCACATTGATCCTGCACCATATTCAAGAACGGGGTTCAGATCTTGCTTTCGTCTTTGATTTGCCACTTCAATTCAATTAGCTGCTGAAGTGCTGATGCTTCGCGGCTGGGAGTAAGAAGAATTTACTCACGTTGCTTGGCCGAGGAAGTCGTCGCTTGAGAAGTTGTCGTGGTCCATGATCCGGAGGACGAGCTTATCCTGCACGTTGGCCGCGGAGGAGTTGATCTGGAATCTCAACACCTCGTTCCAGCTCGGGTTCCTCCCCGCATCTGCATTACAGAACGCGACTGTTTCGTTCAGCAAAAATATACTTTCGTGGAGCAGGGTAGAGACGAGGAAGAGGAACCAAGAAAACAGAGCTGTGTGGAAGGGAAGCAGGGACTGGCCTCGGGCGGTGCTGCTCTTGCGCTCCTGGCTCCGATACTGCACCACCACATACGGATCGATCTTCCCTGCACATAACATGGCAAGCACAAAACTCAATCTCCGTCCACAACCGAACACAGAACGGAGCAAATGGAAGCCAAGAACACGCATGCTCACCGAGGAAATCGGTGCCGGAGAGGCCCTTGGCGTGGACCAGATGCACCTCCAGAAGGCCGCGCGCCATTTTATTTGCTCTCTCGTTCTCGCTGGAAAGCTAACCAACACTCGATCCTCTCACACAGTCCCACGGCCGGCCGGCTGCTCTGCCCTTGTGAATGAATGTCTTTCTCTCTTTCGCCTTCGTTCTCCTGTGGCTCGCGTTTGGAATCGAGGTGCCGTGACTGAGGCGCGCCGGTGTATTTATATAGTACAGGTTGGTTCCTCGGATGGGTGGCAGCTGCCGCTGTACGAGTCCATTCAAAACTCCGGAGTTGGTCGTCGCCAACGTGAGGAAGCACGCACCAGTCTAGCCGGTTTTTGGACGGGTTCAAGGCTCCTACAGTACTCGCTTCCACTCACCTTCCCTTCCCGCACGAAAACAAGCTCCGTTTCTTTCTTTTAACCCAAGTTGCCAACTAGTCCTGTGCTATACTCGTTGAGCAGGCCTCGAGACACGACAACGAGTCCTTTTTTTAGAAAGACCATCATGACTAACTTTATTAATTTAAAAGAGGAATTACATCGTCAACTAGTTTAGAAACTAGACAGCCCAGGGGCTCGTCCATCCACCTAAGAGAAGACTTATTACAAAAATTGAAGTTCGCTAGCACATGCACTGCTTGGTTACAAGAACGAGAGCAATGCTGAAATTTGACCTTCCCGGTCAAGAAGGAAATATCCACACATTCGGCGAATGTTGCTGCTGCTTCATCCCACCATCTTACTTGGCCATTACATGATTCTATGATAGTCGTGGAATCGGACTCCGCTTCAATCCTAGGGAAGCCCAATGAGTTTGCAAATGTCAGCCCATCTCTCATCGCAAGGGCCTCGGTACTAACCACATTAGCTGCTTAGGGTATAAATTTGCATTGCGCCGCAAGGAACGTACCCTTCTTGTCCCTAATTACAGCTGCTGTAGCACCCATACTTTCATCAATATAAAAAGCAGCATCAAACATTCAGCTTGACAAACCTGGGATCCGGTGTCCTCCACCTTTCTTCAGTATTACCCGTCCTTTTCTCATTGGCCTGATGGAAATTGTTTGCAATCGCCAGTATCGACATCGGCATTTAAAAGCAGGAGGGGGTGATCCATCATGTGTAAACTGCCGGCGGATTCACCATAGGTACCAGCTCCCCACCGCTATGATTTACCTGACATCTAGATTGGGTTTCACAGGAACAGGGCTAGGTCCTTGAAGGAATAAATGTTCTAAGATAACAGAGCCCGAACGATCCACAATCAGGGCGTTATGGATTGTTTCCGAAATGCCGAGACGACAACGAGTCCTTCGTTTCGCCCGGACTGCGTCTTCACTTGCCAATCACCAACTTTACCATGGACCGTGCGTGCGTGCTCAGTTTGACTTCTATGAAATTCTCTACGCGGTGACATGGAAGAAACGAACGTATTTGGATGCGGTCTCGGATCAATTCGCGTATATCTGCAGAAACGTAACTCGACCGGGTCTTGACACCGCACAGGGGTCTGTCTAGGTACTTCTAGATGTGTGCACGTCTAAAAGACTCAATCAAATATTTAAGGAAAAAAAATTAACCACGCGAATCTTCACGTAAAATCAACGACATAAGACTTAGATGTGCAATACTTATGACACATCTACATGTGCTTTAGCAAAACTGTTATCAAAAACATTGTATAAGACCAGACGGCCGAGGTTCCTAAAC